TTCTATAAATAACAAAAAAACAATATCTCCTCTTTATTTTGCATATATTTAAATTAGAACATACAAAATTTGAAGCACTATGAATCACATTGTAAAATGAACTTAAATTTCTGTCATTAAGTCGCTAATAAAATCAAGCAGAACATTCCGTTGAATAACAAGTCACTTTGAAATAGCATGAGATTATTTATCACATGCTCTCTCTATATCGTTGTTTGTTTAGATAATCTTCTACTCAGTTCCATAACATAACAAGTTGTAATATATACGAAATAAAAAATTTAAAAAAAAAATGAGACAAGACTATGACTTTTTTTTAGAAGTAGATTAAAAGTTTTTTATTTTTTTTAAATATATAAAAAAACAAAGAGATAATACAACCTTAAAAAAACTAAAAAACTCACTTTTAACCGCCGTGCCAAAATAGGCATCAACGAAAGTTGGTCCTAAATTCCAACGTTTGGCACTAGCCACTAGGGATAAACTTGATGTGGTTGAGAAACTTGGAAGAGGGTAGAGTTTATTGGGAAGATCGTGTGGCTTAGACCATCTCCAACGCTGAACCAAACCCAGCATCAGATTTAAATTTTGATGAAAAACCCACTTTTTCACGCTCCAACGGTTGCACCAAAGTCATACCAAAATGAGAATTCAGCAAACAAGACATCAAACTGAGATCAAGACACAGATTTTACCAAATCACTGTTACTGACCGTTGAAAATGCTACACCGGTCGACCAACCGGTTGCCCGGCCGGTTGACCAACCGGTCAACCAGTAAAAGATTCAAACAGTTCACATGGGTGATGCGAGAGGCATACCTGTTGATCGTCAAGGTCCAGAGAAGCTAAGAGCGAAGGGTCTGAGATACTAGAGAGAGAGTATTGGAGAACGGAGAGAGAGAGAGAGAGAGAGAGAGAGAGATGAGTTTTATATGATTTCAAAATAGGGAAAACAATCTTCAACGGTTATATATTACCCACCGACTTTATTTTTGTGGAACAGTTTATTTCATAGCCTTACCGATCGACCGGCCGGTCGACCACGCCGCTGTTGTCCCGGATAGATTTGGTGAAGGTGAACCGTTGGAGCCTGAAGTATCAAATCCAGGCAAATGGCCTATTGAACCAGAATTAGTGAAATTTTTGATTCACGGTTGGAGATGCCGCTTACGATCTTTAGCCAGCCATCTGTCTCATTCAGATTTCTATCTTTGACTTCTACAAAGTTTTTAAATTTTTTATTTTTTTTTTTTTTTTATTTTTTTCTTTTATTTTTGTTAAACAACTTTTTTTTTTTTTTTGTAAAAAAAAATATAAAACAAAATTAAAAATTTTTTTTAAAGAAAAAAAACGTTTTTTTTAATTTAATTTTTTACTTTTAAAAATAACTTCTTTTTAAGTGGTAAATATTTTTCTTTTAGTATAGTTAAAAAAAGCCGCGAAACCATTTTAATTTTTTTATTATATGTATTTTTATACTACAAATTTTTAATTTTATTTTTCTTTTTTATAAATATTTATTTTTAACACCGAATCTCACCCTAGTCATCTCAGTTTTGTAATCATTTTATCTCTCCATTCCTTTGACACTGCTGAACTGAATCATATCCTGAGCTAGTCTCAAAGAACCAGACAACCGCTAAATCATCAAAACTGTGAACTAGTTAGATCGGTGGCTACATTCGAAGCAACTGATGAAATCACAAGTGTGTATTTTGTAACCCACATTATTGCTCTCTGGTACTGCTACTACCATGGTTTCCCATGCCATTCGTCATAATAATCAATCACCAACATTTATTGATCGAAAGGGGGTGGGTTGGGGGGTTGGGGTTGTGTTGGTCGTATATGTAACTGAAGTGATGTCACGGGAGCTCATCTAAATGGTAGTAGACATTTTACCTATCTAAATATTACTATAAAGGTATACATTATTTTGCATGTCAACTGTTTCATGTTTCTACTCCAACCATGCTCTTTATTTTTAGCTATTCATCTAAATTATTAGTTAATATTTATGAATGCACACGTCAATAACAAAGATGGAGGGAAATAATCCTAATGATTAAATACATTTTGCCTAGCCTTGAAGGCTAGCTACATGTAGCTAGCGAATGTGAGCTGAGCCAAAATGCCTAATCATATGCCTAGTGCATTGGAGTTGAAAAAAGTGAGTCACATTAGGCATTTTAACTAACAAGCATTATATGCCTAGTGGGTTGGAGATGCTCTAATAACATAACTTTCCATCTTATCTACTCTCCCATTCCCCATTTCTTACCATTATTTTATTAGCTCATTATCATTGCAAAATAAAATAAAATAAAATAAGAAGAAGAAGAAGAAGAAAAGATTATCTTAATATTATAAATTTAAAAAAATTACTTAAAAAATTATTTGAAAAAAATAATCAATAGTCTATATTTATTGTGATATTCATTGTGAGTGTGACCGATATTTTACTAACTTTATATTTATACCACACTCACTTTTCGGAGAAAGTTTCATGGTTCATAGTATTTTCTTTTATTATTTAAAAACAGTTACATGATATTTAACTTTTACGGAGTGATTTAAGATGTTCTAAATAAATATATTTTTTGACTTTTTATAATAAAAAAAGTGTGTAGAAAAATAAATAAAGTAAGTAAAAAAGTAAAGAGAAGATTATGATTGATGTGAGCAAATAAGTGTATGTATGCACACAAAAAAAATATTTTTTTAATGCATACCAAACAAGTACGTAGTTTTTATATGGCTGGTAATTCTACCTATTTCTTTTAAATATGGTGAACCCTATACATAATGTATTACCTTTTGTTAAATAAATAAAAGTAAGATATAAAAATAAATCTAGGAATAACTAATATTTCTCTTTTTTCAATTATGTCTGGAACTGAGATATAATTCCAATTGGAAAATGATTGGTGGCCCTAAAAAAGTTGCCCCTAATTCCCCTTATTTCCATTTTTAGAAACTGTTTTTTTTTTTACTTTCTTTTTTTTTTTTTTTTTTTTTTTTTACCTTAAATGGAAATACGGGGCATTCGAGCCCCCTGTTTTCGGGCCCTGAAGCACGGCTGATTCCAATTTTTCTTGACCTTTAGAGGGTACGTTTCATAGCTTTTTCTTTCTTAAATCATTGAAACAATACTGTGAACAGAAAACCAACCATCATTTTTCTTGACCAGAAAAAGGGTACGTTTTCATAGCTTTAGCTTTCTTAAACCATTGATTTAGCCTCCGTTTGAAAAGTTGATTGGCTTTTTGATTTTTTAATTATTTTAATTTGGGATTAAAAAGTTTGATTCAAGAAGGATTTTTAATTTTTTTGACTTTTTGTGAGAGAAAAAATATAATGATTATAAATTAGATGTGATATTTTGTCTTACTGAATTAAAAAATTTATTTTATTTTTTGTGATTATTTTAATCCAAAAAACCTCAAAACCAACTTGCCAAAGAGGCTTAAAAATACTGTGAACAGAAAACCAACTATCAAACAAGTACAATCTTGTTCAGGATATAAATCAACAAATAGTGATCCAAAAGAAAAAGAAAGTAAATTACAAATACATCCTATAAAATTTACTTAAAATATAGATTATTCTTGTAATTGAAAAAATTACAAATATCTCTTAATTAGAATTTTTTATTTGATAGAATTAATTAAAAAAATAAAATTCATAATTATTTTCCTATACAATAATAAAATTACTTAAATTATTAATTGAAACATATTTTTAATATTATTAAAAATTATTAATTGATTTGATAATTTATTAATAAAAAGGACGACTTGTTATGAAATTAAAAATTTTAAGAGTAAAATATAATTTTTAAAATTATAAAAGACGATTTGTAATTTAATCAAATCTCAAGAATGTGTTTATACTTTATCCTAAAAAAATGCACTAAAAATTGCAAACTTATAAGCAGACACACCAAACAACCATTTGCTTTAGTAAGACATATAACTGCTCTAGTTCTAGCCTACTAGGTGTTTGACTACTCAAAAGCTCCATTGGGCCATATTGAGCGCCAGCCCTGGCTAAGGCCACTGAGGCGTGTGCTTATAGCCTCAAAAATTAGGCTTAAAAAAAGACTTTTAAATTTATTATCTTATATTATATCAAAAATTTTAAATGATTCAAATTTATTTAATTAATTTAGGTCATTTTAAAATATCAAAAAAGTTTCCCTCTCATCCCTCTGCGTATATATATATATATATATCTATCTGTGAAGCCCCAACTCTTTATCTGCGTATATACATATATATATATATATATATATCTGTGAAGCCTATTTTTCTTTCTTCTCTTTTTATGACCCAATTATGTGTTTTTTTAGTGATTTTAAAATATTTTACACAATTTTATTTATTTATTTTGTAGATACATATAATTTAGATACACTTAAAAAGTATAATATTTGTACCTTTTTATAATAAAAAAACAAAAAAAAAATTGCCAAATACAAAAAATATAAAAAAAATATGAATTGCAAACTCAAATAATTATTTTTCAAAATTCTAAATCAAACCAGATAATTTTTATTTTTATTTTTATGAATATCTAAAAAGTCTCGTAAAATTATTTCAGCTTAGGTCCCCGAGCGGCCCTGGCTACATTTCAGCAGTCAATTGGGTGGGCCAGAGTTTTGAACTTCTCTATCAACCTCACTTTCATTTGTTTTGTATGTGAGGGCCTTTTTTGGGGGCAATAAAAGAAGAAAAAAGGAACTTGCTAGAAGTCCAACCGGAAAACAAGTCATCAGTCTAATCATCAAATTGTGGCATGATCTGAAGTCGGTGATATAAATTTTTTTGATGATGGATCATACATGAGAGGAAAAAATGATTTCTGCATCATGGAATATGTCCCGAAAAAGGATTATTGGGATGTAGAGAATTACTTCTGCATGAAAACTTTCTGAATTTTTTGTCAAATTAAGATGCCATTACCCATGGAATTAACCAAACTCACACCATACAGTGAATTGTTTGAATATTGGTTATAACTGAATATAGTCAATTAGGATGCTATCACACATGAAATTAACCAAAACCCACATCCTATAGTGAATTGCGAGAATATTGGTTATATAACTGAATACAGTCAATTCAGGTTGCACATATTCAATCAAGCTTAAGCTAAAAATGATGTTCATACTCAACATAGTAAACAATTTTTATAGAAAGTTGGTATGGAAACCTCAAAAATGATGATCCTTTTTCTAAGCCTATTCTACAGAAAAGATGCAGTAAGTCACTCAATCATACAGTTTTTTGGCAGATTGTGTTCTGGATGTCTTGCTTTCCTGCTTCAAAATTTTCTCCAAGGATTTCTCATTTTTAGATACGGCTTTTGCCATGGCTTTCATCTTTCGGACGTTCTTTGATCTCTTCATCTGTACTCCCCTTTTTAACTTGCTGTAATGACAAGAGAGTTATGAGGGAAAGAAGAAACAAAAGAAAATAAGAACGTACAGATCATAGCAACCAGCTACATTTAAAAACCCCCCAAAAGAGGCGAATTAGAATGACTTCATCTTCAAACTTGCATAACAAAGGGAAACCAGATAAACCTACAGAAGCAAAAAAATCTAAGAAATGGTTTCTTCAGCAACAAACAAAATTAAGAAAACAAATAACCGTTGGATTTCTTGTTTTCAAAAGATTTCAAGATTAACTGTAGATCATATAGATCAAAGAAATAGTTTCTATGGATCAAGGGAAAACATCATTGAATTGCAAGTGAATGCTCCTAAATTCAATTTGTAAAGCTAGAAACACTAAATATGGAAAAATTACAGACTAATTAGTAGTTTAAACACACCCATATTGCGAACTTCTTTGCAAGCACAAACATTTACCAAATCAACAAGACAGAACTTGAATCTGCTTGCTATTTTCTGAACAAACCCAACTTGAAGAAAATTTATTTTCAGTCATAAACTACCCTAATCATCAAGAAAAGACACAACACTGAGGATGTATGACCAAAGAAATCATTTATAAGTCAATTCCTTTTCATCCTTTTACCTCCATCTAGATGATATCGAATTGAATACACACAGAAGACAATTAATATCAAAGAAACAGGGCCAATTTGGATATACTCTTTATCAATTGCTTAGTCCTGAGACAACCCTCAAAGCATCAATGACCACATCATATAATTTTACATAGACTGAATACACAACATTTTTTTTTTTGTCTTTTTTTTCTCAGGAAAATCCCGATTGAAACAGCAGCAGAGAGCAAAAAAAAAATCAAATTATATAGAGTTAATAGTGATGGGTTTAATTGATACTGACATAGTAGAGGTACCGAGAGGTGCTTTTGGAGCCGCAGACTCTGACGTATCCATTGCTGCATAGAATTGGAAATTAATTTTCAGAAATAAATTATAAAAAAGAAGAAGCTTCGAATCAATTAAAAAGGAGTGTAATAAAAGCTTACTACCTTGAGGGAGATCTAAGACCGTTTGATCGGAGGCGATGTCCATAGCTGTTGAATCATTTCTCTTCTTCTTGTTTCTGTTCTTCGCCATAGCTCTCAGAGGCAGAGGAGATCGATCGACAGGATCTTCGCGCAACACAAGTCACTAAACCCTAGTCTCGTAACCCCCAAAGACGGGTCTACCATTTACCCGCAATAGTCCGGTCTCTTTACCCGGAACCAAATCACCGCCCCACGGGACCGCTTTTTTTTTTTTTTTTTTTTGTATTTTTGGTTGTGTTGGGTTTAATTTTTAAATTAAATTTTGAGAATTCAAAATTTATTTAGTTTATAATTTTTTGAAAATTATTAGCAATCATTTTTTTTTTATCTTTTCTCTCTTTTTTTTGTTAGAGCATTCATATTAATCTCATCAAATGTAATTTTTGATTAAATATAACTAGCAAATCATAAAATTATTTCTCCATTTGTCTCATCAAATTATTTCTAAAATAACTTTTGGTTAACTTTGATACTATTCATTAGTTATTCAATAGTTTATCATTTTTTTTTTTGATAGATTTGACCTCACTTTTTTTAATTTCTTATGTATTCATTGAAAAGATATTTAAAATTTATTTAAATACAACAAATTAATAAAAATTAATATTTTAATAAAATAATTTTTTTTAAATAGAGAGTCTCATGGAGTGTATATAAAAAAAAGTTAGCTAAAATATTAAAGTGCTTTGGGGGTTATAATTTGATTCAAAAATTAATGCGACTGATGTGGATATACATCAATCAATCACTTTTTCTTTTTCATCTCTTGTTCTCTCACATTCTACTATGAATCAATCATTTTTTTTCTCATACTCATCTATTTAATTAGAAAAAAAATTATAAATCATCCCAAACTACAAAGTTATAAAATTATTTTTAAAATATACAACTAAACAAATTTTGAATTTTTTTTTTAAAAAAAACCTTGAGTGTGTTTGGTTTATATTTTGAGATAAATTCTCAAAAAAAAAAAATTTTGAGGAAAGAGTTTAGAATTTTTTTTAATTTGTTTGGTTGTATATTTTAGAAATATTTTTGAAGTGTGGGAGTTTAGAATGATTTGATATTTTATTATAGTTGAGTACATGTGTGTGAGAAAAAAAGTAATTGAGAATGAGAGATGAAAAAGAAAAAGTAATTGATTGATGGGTAGAAAATATAAAGTGATTTTGAAAAAAAATTTCCAAAATCGCTAAATTAAATAAAATTTTAAAAAAATTTCTTTAAAATTTGTTTCTCAAAAATAAACCAAATAAGGCGCTTATCTTTTAAAACTAAACCTAAGGGACCTTTATTTTTAGTCCAAAGTCCAGAACAAAGTTTTGTACCTATCCACAAAAAACCAAAAACTAGAAAGTTTTGTAAGCTTGACCCAAACCATAAATGGGCTAGGCCCAATTTAACACCTACGTACTGATAAATTAAAGAATTCGACCCAATTAAGTGAAGCATTGTTTGGGAAGGGCTAAAGTAGTTATTTTAGCCACAAAAGACAAAATAAGTTATTTTAGTCATAAAAAATAAAACATCACATTCAACCCATAATCATTACACTCTTCTCTCACAAAAAAAGTCAAAAAGTCAAAAAGCTAAAAAATTCTTCTCAAATCAAACTTTTTAGTCCAGGCTAAAATAACCAAAAAAATCAAAAACTAAAAAGCTAACCCACTTCCCAAACCAAACCTGAGTTATTTTTCATTTTTCAACTAATTAATAAAAGTGAGTCAACATAACTGTATAATTGATTAGAAACTCACAAAAAAATTAAACACATCTCTTCGAGCATAAATTGTACCAAACAATTTAAGACTAAATAGCCTATAACAGAGTTTTAAATTACAGTATAATAAGTTATAATCAACTCTTTTAAACTACAACAAACAAGGTCAGTCATTCGAAACTATCATATAACTACTCGTTGATCACTGGTGAAGTAGGGAGCGGAAAGCACCAACATCTTTGGATTAAAGGGAGTGCGAAAACCCAAAAAAAAAAGATGGGACCCTCGGCCCACGCCACCATAGAGAGCATTGCAGTAGTGTGTTTGCTTGACAGTTTGGTGAAGGAATTGGTTTTGGGGCATCTAATCGGTCCCAATCGAACTGTATTGGGACATTCATATTGGACCATTCACTTGTTCTCTTATCATCATTTTCACACAATACAAACACGTATACACAATACATTGTGCCTGTTTGGCAGAAATTATTTACAGCTTATTTTAGCTTTCAGCTTAATTTAAGCTATTTTGATGTGTTTGGTTTAACTTATAGCTTATAACTTATAGCTTTGTGGAAGTCAGAAACCAGCTTATTCTTTGAGTGGGGCAGGAGATGCTTTAAGAATAAGTTGGAAATCAGCTTAAGCTGAAAGTTATAACCTATAAGCTGTTTAGGCATAAGGTATAAGCACTTTCCCACAGCTCTACCAAACAGGACTATTATCTTCTTATGGTAAATTATAGGGTCCCTTGATGATCTGTTAACCACTCAAAGAAGAAGAGATCTTTGGCAAGTGTTCCACTTTGCAAAAACTAAATGATTTATGATTTGCCTTACTTTTTTGGGGACACTATGTATGGCATAATAACTCCTCGAAATTTCATCTTCCCTGCAATTATGTGCAATGATTGAAAGGCATGTGTGTGGAAGGCCAAATTTGTATAATATAGATAAATAAATAAATTATTTGTATTATATTTTCTTATTAAAACCTATATATATGGCATTGGTTCATATAAAACTGTATTCTAAAAAAAGTTGGGAGTGTCTGACAAGTAAAAAATGGGTAGAAGAGAGGATTATAATGATCTAATAGAAATATATTAGTGAATTTAGGGTTGATTTGTCATGTTTGAAAAAAGTTAAAAAGTTATTATTCTATTTGAGTCACATCATTTTATTTAAGTCACATCATTTTTCTAACACATCATTTCAAACTCAACTCAAACCCAGCTCATATTTTATAAAAAGTCAAAAAGTACACTTTTTTAAATCATCCCAAACAACCCCTAGTGAATTGTGTGTTATATCAAATGATGGCCAAATTTTATCATCTCATATATTTTTATTTTTATTTTTATTTTTGATATTCAGAACACTCTCAAAACAGAACTTTGAACATCTATTTTTATAAATTAAAGTGAAAGAAGCTAACTAATTTATTTAAACCATAAGACTTCTATTTTAGTAGTAAGAGATTCAATGCTAGTCAGTAAAAAGAAAAATATATTTCCTTATCACCTAAGATGACCCGTTGGTGATTCATCTGATATTCAGCCTAAAAGGGGAGTTTTTTTTTTTTTTTCTTTTTTGTTCTAAAAGGGAGATAAAGCTTTGATTTGACTTGACTGGATAAATGCACCTAATATATTCCTGACACAACTTTCAGTGCATTGCAAAATGGGATCCATTATGGGGACATTCTCGTGAATTGCCTGAACTTCTCTGAGATGTTACTAATCCAGAGAGGGCATGGTATTGTTTGTTCGTTGAAAGAATACATATTGTGGTGTTACAGAGAGCTCGGCCCCACTATGTGTATTCACATAAATGGCGGATCATGCAGCCATTATAACGTGCTTTGCACCATATGTACCCAATATTAGTGTAACACCACGTCTGTCTCAATACATGCACAACTACACTAATTATATATATTTAGAAGAGGAAAGGATATGCATGCAACCCTGCATTTGAATTTATAAATAAAAAAATATAAAAAAAACAACCCTGCATTAGACCCCTTCTTATATTAATATTAGTTGAAAAAGGCCCATGCAGAGCATGGATTATTATTATAATATATTTAAATTTTATATTTTGATAATTTTTTAAAAATTAGAATATTGTTTTATAAAATTGAATTGAATAAATTATTAGACATATGATAGAATTATATAGTATGATATGTATCATTTTTTTATTTATTATATACTTAATGATATTGATTCTAATTCTATTACCATATCATTTTTGGTAAATTTATGAGTCTTTAACACTTCTTCCGAATTTATAAAAAAAAATTATGGATTGTAAACTTTTCTCATCAGATAAATATAAAAAAAAAAAAATACTAAGATAAGCCTTTCATCTAAAAAAAAAGGAAAACTCACTCAAAGGTCCAAGCCCAACATATTATACCCCATTTAGGCCCAAAACAAATTTAATACTCCATTAAGTCCTCAAATTATCAATGAAATGAAAATACCCACAATATATCATTCAATTTACACGAGCGCAACCATCACCCACGATCATCTCAGTCTGATCAGTACACTGTCACATCTCCACCACTTGAAATCGAATTCTCAGTCCTCCATCTCTCATCCGTTCGACTCTATTCCCTCTGAAACCCTACCATAACCACAAAACGAAACCGTTCATCTTCATCACCCACGATCATCTCAGTCTGATTAGTACATTGTTACATCTCCGCCGCTCAAAATCGTATTCTCAGTCCTTCATCTCTCCTCCGTTCGACTCCATTCCCTCTAAAACCCTACCTAACCACAAAACAAAACCGTTCATCTTCAACACAACACCAAGCCGTTCATATTCTCCAATCGGCGACTCTCAACAACACGAAGAACCATAACCACTCTGAAGAAATTTCATAGTTCCTGACTTCCGATTCACAGAAATGGGGAAAAAAAGTAACATCTCTTTTCACCTATTCATTATTTTTCATTCAAATTTGTACATTATTCTTTCATATTTCGTATATACATATTTTACATACTTCAAAATGTATAAACCCTCTTTTATATATAATCTCCTGTTTTAAAACATTCTAGTCCCTTGTTTTAAAACATTCTAGTCCCCTGTTTTTAAACATTCTAATCCACTGTTTTTACACATAAATCCCTGTTTTTACACATTCAACACCTTATTGTTATTTTTGTTGTTCACTATTTGTCATGACCCAAACCCGCCCCCGTGGGTTAAGGACATAACCAGCCAGTAATCATGAGATTACCTACGGCCTCAAACCAAACTAAACGTATTTTAACAGAGTTAATGGGGGCCAAACAGAAGTAATTTAAAACTTTGTCCATAGAGATGTGCTTACATGGCACATCGTAACAACCATACATATGCACATTAATAACTCACAACAGAATA